CGCCATGAGCCAGCCTGTGCCCCTTTAAGCGCTCTGGGGCCGGGAGGGGGGCATACGAGTTTCCCTGGTGGTGCCCAGAGTGGCCACCAGGGAAACCTGGGAAGGGCTAGCCTCCCACTAGTTCGAATTAAGGGGCTACACAGCCCTTAATTCGAACTAGTAAGTTCGAACTAGGCTTAGTCCTCGTGCAATGAGGTTTACCTAGTTCGAACTAAGCGCTCTGCTAGTTCTAATTAAGTTCGAACTAGCGGAGCGCTAATGTAGCGCCTATGAAAGTTAATTCGAACTAACGTCCGTTAGTTCGTATTAACTTTGTAGTGTAGACATACCCTCACTAGGTTGAGACAGGGGGTGTGGGGTGGGAATGAGGGATTTGGGTGTGGGAAGGGGTGAGACGTACAAGCTCTGGGAAGGAATCTGGATGCAGGCGAAGGGGCTGTTGGCTCAGGAAGGGGGCTCCAGGCTCGGGAGTGTTGGCCTCAGGTGGAAGGTTGGGGTGCTGAGCAAGCCATGGGCTTGTGGATGTGAGGGTGCAGGAGTTTGGGCTGGATATGTGAGGGACTCGGGGCAAGAAGGTTGTGCATATGAGGGGCTCAGGACACAGATTTGTGATGTGTGGATGGTGCAAGAGTGTTGTGACAGAAGACTGAGGATGTGGGGATGCAGGAGTTTGGGGATGTAAGAGGCTCAGGACAGGGGATTCCAGTGTATGATAGGCTCAGGTTTGGGGTCAGGAGGACAGGGGGTTCCAGTGTATGATAGGCTCAGATTTGGGGTCAGGTGGTGCAGGAGTGTTATGACGCTGCAGTGAGATGGGGGTTTCGCCCCAATTGGGGGCTTGTTGGCCAGGCTTCATTTTTAAATAAAATATTATGTCAAACTCAAAAGGTTTTAGCATTGTCTTTATTTATAGAGGGGTGAGGAACCTGTTTGAGTCAGGGGTCACTGACTCACAGAAAAGTCAGTTGGGCCACACAAGTGAGATGCAAAAAAAACCCAACAACCCTCCAAAACCCCCCAAGCCTCACTAATGTGGTCCCAAATGTGCTGGTGGGGGCAGGGGACAGAGTGAAAGTGGGAGCTGGGGCTGGGGAGAGGGTGCTGCTGGGTGGAAGGATGCTGGCTCAGGTGGCAGGGTGCTGGGGTCAGAGACATGGTCACTAGGGGGACTGGCAGGGTGCTGGGGCCAGACCAGGGTGGTGCTGAGTCCTGGGGTGTGAGGCAGGGTGCTGGGGACAGGGACAGGGAGGGGACTTGGGTAGGAGTTGGACCTCCATGCTCTGACACCCTCTGGACCTGCCTGGTCCCAGATGAGGGATTTTTGGACCAGGGGAGGACATTTCTGGGCTCCTGGGCTCATCCCCCCATTAGGCTTCTTTGCACCTCTATCCCCTGCAACCCAACTGAGCTGCCCACCCCTGCTGGTTCCCTGTACCTCCCCCAAAACCATCCCCCACAATCCAAGGGAGTGCAGCACCAGTTCCCTGCAGCCCCTCACAGCCCAGCTGAGCCTGTTTCCCTGCACCTTTCCCAAGCCCCGCAAAACTGCTGAGCCAAGCGCCGATTCCCTGCCCCTCCTTCCCCTTGAGTCTAGCCCCGGTTCCCGGCACCTTCCTCCTCCTGCAGCCAAACTGAGCTCCACACACACACACACCCCGCAGCCCAGTCCAGCCCAGCTCCCCGGACCTGCCCACTCTACAACCCAGCTGAGCTCAATTTCCCTGCACCTTCCCCCAAACCATGCAGACATGCTGAGCCAGTGCTGATTCCCTGCACCTGCCTCCCTCCCACTCTCCCCTTGGCTGTGTCTACACTGGTGCGATCTTGCACCAAAGCAGCCGCTCTTGTGCAAAAACTTGCTTCCTGTCTACACTGGCCACGTGTTCTTGCGCAAGTAAACTGACGTTCTCATGTATGAAATCAGGGCTTCTTGAGCAAGAACTATGATGCTCCCGCTCAGGAATAAGCCCTTTGCGCAACTGTTCTTGCACAAGAGGCCAGTGTAGACAGGCAACATGAATTTCTTGTGCAAGAAAGCCCTATGGTTAAAATGGTCATCAGAGCTTTCTTGGGCAAGAGAGCGTCCACACTGCTATAGATGCTCTTGTGCAAAAGCACAGCTCGCAAGTACTGAGTTCATGTGGCTTGTTTGGATGTACCACTGAGGCACCCAAGTTATTAATAAATATTTTTAAACCTTTACCTTTTCTCTCTGCTGCCATGTCTTCTTCCCTTATTCCATCACCTCCCCTGGTGCCTGCTGCCCCCCAACTCCTCACCCTCCTCTGCTGTCCGGACTCCTGCCCTCAGACCTCCTGTGACCTGCCCCACTCCTCCAGCCCTTCTCTCCTCCCTGTGCCCACTCCTCCAGTAGCCCCACTCTGATCATGTGAGCTATCCCTCCTCATCTCCTCTTCTAACACCTCCTTGTACAAACCTGCCCTGCGTCTCTCCTCTGGTGCTGGTCCCTCCCCTGCAGGTGTCTGCCCTTCTGCTTCACCCCAGAATCCCCTGGCACTTGTACCTTCTCTTACTCCTGCACCCTCCTGGTGCCTCCCCCTTCCCTCACTGCCTCTTCCTCCTTTGCCCTCTTTTTCCCTGATGCCCACCCCCTCACCACCCTCATGCCCCTCACACATGACTTGCTCCATCCCGGCCTTCCTCATGCCCCCCCCTTCTTTCAAGCCTTCTCCCAGCATCTCCCTCTCCCTCCTGTAGTCCCCAATGCCCTTGCCCTCTCCCGTCCCAGCATCACCCTGTTCCCCTCCAACTGACACCTCACCTCCTGCCTTTTTCCTCATTGTCTGCACCTGGCCCCCGGTAGAGTCTCTCCTCTACCCTGTCCCTTTGGTGCCTTCCCCTCTCTTCCTCCTCTCCCTTCCCCTTCCGCACAAGCCCCTTCCTCTCCCAGCCCTTCCCCTTCCCCTACCTTTTGCCTTCCACTTTGTGGGGCTGAAGTCTGCGCTATGTCCCCGGACTCCGAACCCGCAACTCAGCCGTGCGGCGCAACACAGCACCCAGCACTTTTAAAATCCCGGGCCGTGACGTTACGTCATGCCCAGGCATCTCCCTGCCCACCGGTTTGAGCACACCGTGCAGGGCAGCAGCAGCTGGCAAGCGGGAGCACAGTGAAGGTTGCGCACGGCAGGGATGGGCCAGGGACGGGGCTGGGGGAGAGATGCTCTGGGCTGGGGTGGGATGATGCACGG